GATTTTCAACTAGGTTTTGAATTGATCAAAAAGCCTTTGGATTGTAGTGTTTTCTTACCCCCACCAAAAGATCTGCTTTGAGATTACTTTATGACCACGGAGCGAGAGCGAGCTGCGCGAGCACCTCCATGGAGCTCTGCGAAGTTTTGTTTGTTTGGGAGAGCCCTTGGTACGTTAAAAAGTCTAGTACTAGTAGTCACATTGAACTGACTCAAAATCTACGAAGCCCTACACAAAACTGACGCCAGTCATCGAATTGACTTGTTTTGAACGCAGAGTTCAAAGATTTTAAAGCAAAACTCAACAGTGACGACAACCAGCGAATTGACTTGTTTTGTCGCGGAGCTCTGTATGCTTTATAACCGACGGAACTAGGGTTGTCCGAGCAGCTCCATGGAGCTCTGCGAAGCCTTGTTTGTTTGGGAGAGCCCCTGGTACGTTACAAATCCTAGTAGTCACATTGAAATGGCTTAAAATCCTTGGAACTCTATACTAAACTGACGCCAGCCATCGAATTGGCTTGTTTTGAACGCAGGGCCTAGGGCTCAAAGAGGTGAAATTAAAACTCAACAGTGACGACAACCAGCGAATTGACTTGTTTTGTCGCGGAGCTCTGTATGCTTAATGCTTGTATGCAGAAGTATCAAATTTGGAGACCTTTCCTAAAATGTCTCTGGAAAAAAGTTCATATAAGTTGAATATTAGTAAGGTGATGTTTTTTGTGTTGCCATGGCAACGGGTTTCTAGCAGGCAGTTTATTTTGAAAATAGAAGTAATTTTGGTTTAACATAAAATTTTTCTGAGTTCTATATTAAATTACACTTCTTTTCGAACATTAATAAAATCTTACATAATTAAATATAAGTTAAATCATTTAATATGCATAGAATATGCTAATTTGATGACGTCATTGGTCAAAATCCAATATGGCGGACTATATTATTAGCTCTGACGTCATAATTACACCAAAGTTATTAAAATTTAATTCTATTACTACACCATTCTCTGAAAACTTGGTAGACATACGATGAGTGCATAAAAACATATAAAAACGGAAATAAGGTAATGTATAAGAACGCCAGTGTATCCATTATGATCGAAAGCCGGCTGGGGTCCGCGTGGACCCCGAAGGAAAATCAGATATAATTTTTTCCATAAATGGTAGAAGCGGAGTTTTCTGCACTGTATTGAGAGACAACTTTGTGGGCGACAATTACCTAAAATTTCAGAAAAAAATCTTTAGAAACAAAAAAGATATTACAGAATATATAGTGCTGGGGTCCGCGCGGACCCCAGGTGTACTGTTTAGGGTTAAAAGAATTAGGAGATAATTGCCAAGAACCAATTTTGTAAATAAAGCTGTGGAGATTCAAAGTGCTTGTCCTTGTATGATTGCAGTATAATTTATTAATGATTTTCTTTTTTTTTTGTTCGGGGAGCGAGATGGAGTGAAATATTGCTTCGAAGCAAATGTTGGCCTTTCTAGTGTTCATAACGTCTTGTATAAATAGATTGACAACCAGTGGTTTATGGGAATTTAGGCTTGTTTTAAAAATGGCCGCCGTTAAGATGGCGGCTCATGAAGTACATGTTGCAAAACAGATCACAGTTCACCAGGGTGGCCATGCAAGACTACATGTCAGGTACGTACAGACGTAGGATAAATTGGTGCTTCATCTTTCATGTGACTCGTACTAGAAGAGCCGATTGCCCTGTTTCTGAACCTTTCGTCCTAGGAAACTGCAGTTTTTGCCCTCTGTCGAGATTAAAATTTGATTTGTGATAGTATGGTAGTATTGCATTTGACGTACTGATTTATTTACTACTATATGGGCCCTTTTAACACTGAAAACTTGAAAACAATAAGTGAAACCGATGTCAAGAAATTGAATCCAAAATGTATTTGCCCCCCTCCCACTCACAGAACAAAGTGTGTTTACTTCAAGCGCTGGCATAAATAAAAAATACACGATCTTTTCATGAGGTAAAACTTTGATACATTTTTTAAACCAACATATTCCGGAATATGGAAGAGATCAGAACTTTTGGTTTAGAAATAGAGACTGTCAAAGTTGCTTAAAATGTTTGAAGCCATTTTGTTTACACTCTGTGAACTTTAAGCACTGACATTAATGTAAAAAAAAAAAATAATTGATGTTCTGTAAAGTGAAATCAAATAAGACTACATACATCACTCCAACACATTCTGGAATATTAAGAGATTCTTTTTAGAAATATAGATGTTTACAATGTTTACAGTGTGTGAACTAGAAGTGCTGGTATAAATTAAAAAAAACTAAACTAAACTAAAATATTTTTTTAAAGTAAAGTAAAATGAAACATAAGTACATATTCCCCCTCACAATATTATAGTATATGAAAGAGATCTATTAATTTAATCCATAAATATAGGCTGTCAAAGTTACCTAATATTTTGTCAGCCCAATTGTTTACACTATGTGAATTTCAGGTGCTGGCATAAATTCAACAAGATGAAGCGATATTGTTTAAAAGTAAAATGAAACACAGCTTAAGATATTCCTCCAACCTCTTCCAGAATATTGAGGAGATCCATTCATTTTAACCAGAAATAAAAAATTGTCAAAGTTGCCTAGAATTTTGTCAGCCACATTGTTTACAATATGTGAACTTCAGGTGCTAGCATGAATTTAAATACATACACAACTACATATGTAAGTACAACATATTGCAGGATATTGAAATGTACATTTTGATGAAAAATCGCAGACTTTCAAACATGTTGACAATTTTGTCGTCCATATTGTTGACACGTTAAACTGATCTGGGTGTCAACTATAAGCCTAGTTAGAAATTCTCAAAGAAATATAGGATCTTTTTCCCAAAGAAAAAAGAATAGTAGTGCATATATCCATCTAACATATGTTGTAATTTCAAAGAACTACATTATTTTGTTGTTTGTGCCATGCTTTCTTTTGTGTGAATTTTTAAAACAATAAAAAGAATGATTTAAAAAAAAAGAACTACATGCCTATCAACATTAGCATAAGAGAATGATACACATAGTGTAATTCATGTGTGTGTGTGTGTGTGTGTGTCACAGGGGAGATTGAAATACAGGGGAATCCAGAATGCTTCTAAGGGAGATTAGAATTCCTATCTCCCCTAGTTAAGAAATTAAATCCTTCCTCCCCTATAAGAATCTGGAATTGAAATTGAAACTTATAAATTGAATACTTTTACACTTAAGCTTTCAATCAACTTAAGCATAGGCAAGCGTGATACTTAGGTAGGTGAATTACTAGATTGGATTTGTCTTGGCATTATTTGCAGTTCTTATCCCATAATTGCAATATTTCCTAACTCAGACCCAAATCCATTTCCAATTGGCAAAAAATGTGAGTTAAATAAATTGGCAAAGTAAAGGAAGCAACTATATTCTTACAAACCATGATTTTATTCAAAATTTATTAACACAGGCTTCTACATTCTTATACCTTCTAAATTCTTATAGTTTAAGAATCTCAAACAATACACCTACTAATCTGGATAAAATTATCACAAAGACTGAAAGATTATTCAATAGCTGCATTCCTTACTTGGTAGGACTGCTAAACACATGTGACCAATAGTTTCCTTTTTAACAAGTTAGTAGCATTTTTAACGTTTGTACGTATATGTAGCTTTTATACAATATATGCATTATTACGCTCTAAAATATTTTAATGAATCGTGTCGCATTTTAACCACTGTATGTGTAAATAGAAATTTTAATGTGTAAATCAGTAATTCGTGTCGTCGTGAGTACCGTCCGACGGTGACCACTTTGTATATTTGTTATTGTGGACAAGGGTAATCACTCTTTAACTAATTAGCATATTCTGTAGTTGCAGCCTATGCCCTGCGAGATGCAACATGTGCACGAGGAAAAATAAACCAGTATTACCAGTATAAAGCAGTATAGCTCTAATGAAATGTTGAACTTGTTATATTGACTTTCAGAAAGCGTTTGATTGGATAGACAGGGATCTTTTGGCATGCAGACTGATTGATTGTGGTGTTGATGGTAGATTTTACGAAGCTTTAATGACCTTGTACAAATCACCTGTGGTTCCCCACTCCATGTGGAGTTAAACAGGGAGATGTATTGTCAACTACATTATTTGCATTATACGTTAATGATCTTGCAAAATTGGTAAGGTAATCTGATCTCGGAGTTAAACTAGATGATATAACATTGAATATTCTACTGTATGCAGATGACATTGTTCTCATAGCTGAGACTGAGGCCCAACTACAGAATATGTTGGACATTGTATCTAAGTGGTGTTTAGAATGGAGACTGATGATCGACCATGCAAAAATTATGCACACAAATTATGCATTTTTGCCATGGCAACGGGTATCTGACAGGCAATTTTTGCTAAATTTAATAATTTCTGTTTCAACAACAGAATTTTATGGGTTTTATGGGATTTTACACGTTTTCTAATATTAATAACATCTCATATAATTACATGTAAATTTTATCATTAAAAATGCATAATTTATGCTAATTTGATGACGTCATTGGCCAAAATCCAAGATGGAGGACCATATCATTAGAACAGGTATATACAGGTTACTTTCCTTAAAATGTCATTAATACTTCCATTTCTTTTTCCAAAAAAGGTTTAAATGAAGGTCTTTAGTAATATGTTTACAATGTATTTTATTCTTTATAATAAACAAAAAATATTTTTGAAAATTCAAGATTGATGATCCAAAATGGCGGATATCGAACACTTTTGGTAAAGTTATGTTGTATACCATTTAGTTTTCAGAGAGTAGCCTATCTAGACGGTTTTGGCCAATAAAATCACATTAATGACGTCATAATGACGTCATATTACGTCATAATACAAAAAAAATTGTAGATATGATAAATTTTTACTAGTACACCATTCTGAAAATTTGGTAGTCATACGACATACCGTTAGCGAGTTCTCAGGGGGGGGGGTCAAAAGAGCCCCCCTCCCCAGTCAAATCTTACTCAAAAAAGCCCGGTCTAGATAGGGTTTATTTGTGTTAAATCTAAAAAGCTGAGCTACTTAATCCCAAATATCTCTAGGGCTTAAATATAATCGATGTTTTTGATTTCAGACACTGTTTATAACGAGTGAAGAATTTATTGCTTTTGGGTTTTGTTTGTAACCCATTGTGTTTTTAAACAATTAATGTTATGCATATATAGGTTGTAGTGATGTAGCTTTGCCTTGAAACTCTTGTTGGGTCTACGGTATGTTGAGTAGTTAGCAGCAACAGGTCCTCGCTTATAATGGCGGACTGTACATAAGCTACACGCTGCCACACGGAGCCTCCCAAGAGCAGACAGGAAAAACGCTGCAAGATATCAGGATAAAGAAGTGATAATAGAACCAATCTAAAAACTTTTTTCTCATTATACACACACACATATATATATATATATATATATATATATATATATATATATATATATATATATATATATAAACACTATTTATTAGCATTTTTGTTACTGGAAACGCTTAGATAATACGGACCATTTTAATCTATGTAGACATGGCTTTTATGTCATCTTTGGACAGTGGAGGGCATAAACTGACAGGTTCTAGCTATCTGCTATGATATATCAATAATTCTCAAAACGTTTATGCAAAGCAAATGGAGTAAATTCATATATAAAGCGTATTTGATAACTCTTAGGTGACATGACATGGTTATAACTGAGTGAATGTCCTCAAACTTGAAATTTTGTCAGGCATTGATGTCTTACGACAAAAGAGCCACCAGTGTCCAGCAGTGAAATCTAAAAATATACGAATGAAAGGGAGTCGAATTATCACCTACTTTTTATGGGGGCAATTACCTACATCTACCATTTGATTATATGTTTAAAATATTTCAAAATATTTCGAATAGTTAACGAAACCCATAGGTAGTTGAAATTTGTTCTAAATAACGAGATCTTTGTACAGCCACTTTCAAATTGTTTCAGAAATATCTAAATGAATTCAAATATATTTAAATTTCTTTTTTCAAACTTTGGAAACATTTAGAACGTTTGTTACTGGGGTATTCTTTTCTTCTAAATAATTGAAAAGCATTACAAACATGGGGAAAAAGCCCACACGGTGACGCGGAATGGACTCTAAATGTTTTTGAAAAAAAGTGCATCAAGTTACATTATGTAATACAGAAAAATCTATTGTTTAAATCGAGCAATTCAAATTGTGCAAAGAAATCCTTAGGAAATCCGTTTTTAATGTCAGCACACAATATGAAACTAAAACAGGGAAGGCCAAAATTTGCCGATGAAGCAAATATAGGGAATGGCCTCTACATATTTTCGACATGAAATGGAAAGAAGGAGAAACACAAGGAAAAACACAAGGAAAAACAAGTCTTTACATTGATATAACTATAATATAAAGTGACAACAGTTGAATAGCTATCCTCTACATTATTATTATTTAGGATTTTAATTGCATGATGCAAACTGTTTTTAAGTTAAAAATGCGTTTAAGCCCCTCATTACAATTCACCAGTTTCCCATCCCCAGAATGCAACGCGAAAACGCGGAGGTAACCCTCATTTATATAGGACAGGAAGGCATCAGAATGATCCTGTTGACGTTAAACAGCTTGTTTTTCACTGTGTTTTCAGGTGTTGGAACATTTTATGCTAAACATTAATTAAATTAGTATGGGTCGAATCTGACAACAAATAGAGAATAAATTTTTAGTGTTATTTTCAACATTGAACATGGTGATTGGTTTATTTCATTCTCACAGTAAAAAAAACCCCACAGTTTCGCAGCGCACAAAATTGCGCGCTGAATTACACTGGTTATACAATAGTTACCTCATGATTTACTAATATTCAATCACTAAAACATTATTACACGGAAATTCGCCAGGTATTTGAAATTACTCATATTTGAATAAAGGTTACTGTACTCACGATCAACTAGTTAATAATGCTTTACATCGTGCGGAATATATTCTCGGAGCAGTCATCAATAAAATATCTGTCATTATTACAATAAAGGCTAAAACATAGAACATGTGGTTTGTAACGTTACAGCATCAGTGTAACGTTACCACTATAACGTTATAAACCACATATTGAAAAAAAAAAATCATTCTCTATTTGTTTTCAGATTCAACCCATAGTAATTTAATTAATGCTGAGCATTAAATGCCCCGACACCTCAAAACACAGTGAATAACAAGCTGTTTAAAGTCAACGGGATCATTCCGATGCCTTCCAGCCCTATGCAATGATTTGCGTTTTCGCGTTGCATTCTGGGGATGGGGAACTGGTGAATGCTGGATCTTGGCATACCTACCTAAACACTTGAATGCAGTTTATACTGTAAATATGGCATGGCCTTGTACAGATGTTATCCCAAATCCCAACTTACATAGTATATATTCTAAAACACAGCCAAAAAGCGCAAATAAAACCACTCTAAAAGCCAGCATCACAAAAAAAATAAGAAAAGGTTCCGGGTCGGAGTTCCAAATAGTGCGCAGTAAGTCGCCGGATCTGCGAGGTTGTCACGCTAGGTTTGGCTCCCCATAGCTCGGCGATCGCTGTAGATTTTCAACTAGGTTTTGAATTGATCAAAAAGCCTTGGGATTGTAGTGTTTTTCGGCGCGGTGAAGTTGGACGGCCAGCGAAGCGTTTTTGGTATTAGTCCGCGAGCAAGGGTGATGCGGTTTGTCGCCTGATGACCCAAATGGCTGCGTTCTATGTGGAATTTCTAGGGGTTCGCGTCACCGGATTTTGCGAAAAACTTATCGCAACAACCTATATTTTTTTTCTGTTTTTCAGAAACAGAAAGTAGTAAGCTATTTCAGCATATAAGCCGTTAGCCTGGGAAAATTCGTTTTTTCCAAGCAGGTCCGTTGAAAAAACTGCAAAAAAACTACATTTTTCGTATCCAAAATTTACACTTAACTACAGTTTCTACCCAAATTATAGAGTCGACGGAGAATAACCGAAATTGTATCGGAAGCCGGCTGGAAACCTCCGTTGACTGATGTTATGAGATTTCCCGGCGTACTTTTTTTGGCGGAGTTATAGCCCTTCGGTCTGAGGGTGTCCGCCGGATCCAAAATCGTGAAAAAAACTCCGGTCCGAGACCAAAAAGAAAAAAACACTTGGCGTTATTTGACCACTTTACCTTCATGACAAATAAACCTCATTCCAGATACAGTCGCCATATCGATTCTATTCTCGCGAGAGTGCATCCTTGGCGTGAACGCGCGTGACCTCGCACGAAACAATAGGGGCTGCACGAGCAACCTCCATGGAGGAGCTCTTCAGCCCTCAGCTCTGCAGAGCTTCACCATGGAGGTTGCTCTTACAGCCCTCCGCGATACCCCAGCAGAGCTCTGCGCCAAAACAAGCCAATTCCTTGGTTGGCGTCACGGTTCAGTTTTGTATACAGCTCTGTAGATATCAAGTTAATTCAATGTGAGAGTAGTAGGCGATACAGCCAGTACTCTGTCACAAATAAAGACTTCGTCACGCAACTCTGCACAGGACAACAGGGAGAGCTCTGCCCCCTAACAAGCCAATTCGCTGGTTGGCGTCACGGTTCAGTTTTGCTTTCATCTCTTACAGCTTGCAGTCAATTACTAGTATAAGCTCTGCGCCAATACATGTCAATTCGTTGGTTGGCGTCATTGCTTATTTTTTGTTAGACCCTTGTGAATAAATCTCTAAGTACAAATCAAGTCGATGCTGATGGTTGGCGTCACGGGTTTAGTTTTGTATAGAGCTCTGTAGATATCATGTTCATTTAATGTGACTAGTAGGCTGTACAGCCAGTACTCTGTCACAAATAAAGACTTCGTCACGCAACTCTGCACAGGACTGCTCGCGGAACTCTCCGCAAGTCTGTTACACACGGAGAGCTCTGCGCCAAAAGAACTCAATTTGTTGGTTGGCGTCGCAGTTCAGTTTTGCTTTCACCTTTTTGCACTCTGCGCTCAAAACAAGTCTATTCTAATGGCTGGCAACACAGGTTCAGTTTTGTATAGAGATCCGGGGATATCAAGCCAGTTCAATGTGACTACTAGGCTTTGTAACGAACCAGGGGCCCGCAGAGCTGGCATTGCAGCCGGTACAGGGCGGGCTCCGTCGCGGTTTCAACATTGTAGGCAATAGCTCTGCGCCAATACATGTCAATTCGTTGGTTGGCGTCACGGCTTATTTCTGGATAGACCCTTGTGAATAAAGCTATAAGTACAGAACAAGTCGATGCTGATGGTTGGCGTCACGGGTTCAGTTTTGTATAGAGCTATGTTGATATCATGTTAATCCAATGTGACTAGTAGGCTGTACAGCCAGTACTCTGTCACAAATAAAGACCTCGTCACGCAACTCTGCACAGGACAACAGGGAGAGCTCTGTGCACTAACAAGACAATTCGTTGGTTGGCGTCACGGCTTATTTTTGGCTAGACCCTTGTGAACTGAACCCTGTCGCCAACCAACGAATTAGCTTGTTTTGGCGCAGAGCTCTGCGGGGGTATCGCGGAGGGCTGCACGAGCAACCTCCATGGACTAGCTCTGAAGAGCTGAGGGCTGTACGAGCAACCTCCATGGAGGAGCTCTGCAGAGGTTGCTCGTGCAGCCCCTTCTCGCACGAAAGCGAGAGCGCAGTTGTGTCACTAGCGGTCAGGTTTACCATTGATGGTAGAGGATGTTGTTGTGGGCATGTGGGATCAATTTTGGCGTGTAGAAATGCGAGTTTCTTCCGATTTTGAACAGTTTGGACGGGCGACATTGTAGCGTATGTGATTCTCTTTGTTTACATGCTAGGTACGCAGCAAACTCATATAATATCGAGAAAATATCGAGTTTAGCCGGATATATAGCCACAAAAACCTAAAAATGTTGGCCCTGGAGTCTTGTGAGTGGAAATTTATGGAGTGTTCGGCGATTTCTCCGTAGATTTATTGATAATATAGCGCCTAATGTCCGGCCGTACGTAGATTGAAACTTTCGTAACTTGGGGGAGGGGGGCGGTTGTTATTCTAACATCCCCCGTTCATTATTACTCCGTGAAGGAGGTCAGGACCTCCGGACGGAGTGTTGTAATCGGCTGATTTTTCATGTTCGCAGTCAAAACACTGGGTTCTCTTTGTGTAATCGGCACGCAATTTTATACGCCGTCTGCGGGCATGCCCGTGTTGATGCACGAATGTGTATTTTTGCCGTTGCTGCTTTCGCGGTCAATGTAATATCGCAGACGCACCCCTACAATTACGAGGCGAATTGGAATGGTCCAGAAAAACGACGTTGTTTGGAATAGCAGTGGGGTTCAAAAAAATTCATGCAGATACG